AGCAATGCAGTCAGCCAACAGTGAACTGAGACATTTGAAACTATGAATATACCATTAAATTTTTCTTCTATAGTTTGCTCTTGTCAGGTATTTTGTTCACAGCAATAAAAAAAACTAACAATAGATTGTTTCAAAAAATAAAAATAAAACTATCACTGTGAAATTTAAAAAATGTTATTGAAAGATATCTACATAAATCTTTATTCACTGAAATCAATTATACTGAGTTTTAGAAACTGAGAGAACGGTTTATATTCCTTTATTTGGTAGATATGATTCACGTTATAGTATAAATTAGCTCCCCTAGACTAAATTCTGTACAGAAGATGAAGTTACTTCTACCTAATTGGCCTCTCTGGAAACCAGAATCTGAAATCAAATAGATTAGACTAAGTAACTGAAACATCACATCTAATAATGACTACATGTTTTTCTTAGTCTCAGACTCTTTCAGACATAAAAGAATTGACTGAAAATAAGTAAGAACATATTAAAAATAAGAATAGCATACAGAGTCCATTCAGTGTTTTGATATCAAGGAACAGTTGTTCTCTCCCACCCCCAGACTAGATTTATATTAATAAGTTTGATGAGGAATTAAGTATTCCTCTATGCCTGATATGATTTGTATCCATTTTGAGTCCTTATAGAACTTGCTTTTGTTCACATCATTTACATTTGTGTTATGCAGCATTTAGCAGAGAAACAACAAAAACAGGGAACACACAAAACAACAATGCATTGAAAAACGTAGCCTTCAGTTTTTCTGTCATATAAATAAAGTCCAGAAGTAGGCTCTCTGGCACTAAGACAACTACACAGTCTCATTGGGAATGCCAATCCTACTGTTCTCTTTCATGTCCTCCATTGATGGCATCTTCAAAGTCAACTAATGAGCAAAGATGGCTACTGTAATTTCCAAATTTCATGTTAGCATCAGGAAGAAAAAGATTCGAAACTTTCTCACAGTGTTGAGGCTAGGGTATCCAAGACCATGGTACAGGCAAAGTAGATTAATTTTGAGACCACTTGGCTTGTAGGCAGCCACTATCTCACTGGGTGTTCCAAAAGAGAAACAGAGGGAGACATGGAGGATTAGAGAGAATCTTGTCTTTTCAATAGGCACTAATGTCATTATAAGGATCTTACCCTCATGTCCTTAGCTAACCCTAATTATCTCCAGAAAACCCCATCTCCAAGTGTCATTACATTGGGGCTTAGAGCTTCAACATATGAATCTCAGGAGGGACATAATTTAGTCATAGTAACTTCCAAGAGATCTCACCAGACAAAACATAAACACATTTTTCTTCTTTCTATGTATTTGTGTGTCCTTTTACCTTACAAGACACCAGAAGTTACAATTTCTTAAAGCTCTTAAAAAGTGCCGGTGTGTGTGTGTGTGTGTGTGTGTGTGTGTGTGTGTGTAAATTCTGTAAGCAGCAGCAACTTCCAAAATATAGATAGGATGGGAGGATGGAATCTTTCTAAATTACCATATGCACCAGGTTCTTTTACCCAGGGCAAAGGGGAATATGGTACTGAAGTGCCAAAAGCAGATTCTACCACTAAGATACTGCTGCTTATTTCAGACTGTCACTGAACTCAGTAGTTGTTTATTTTTAACTTGTCAGACTTGAAAATGACTATGCAGTACTGCAGGTCTTTGGCTCTCAAATCTAAGAGTTCTGTCTTTGCTTGGCATCCAAATTTACTCAGTTAGATGGGCCTTCTTTTTATAGTTGCAAAGGTTAACACAATTTTAAAGCTTTTTGAATGAGCATAGAAAAACATGACAGGTTTGCCTGGAACTCTAACATTTCTAGTCTAACACCATAATATGTTCCTCAACACCAGAGACTCAGTGTTGTAGTTGTTCAATCACATATCACCCCTTAAATGGGGATGACATTATGTCAAGTACCTGTTAATATCATCAAATGGGGTGATACTGCTGGTTATTGGTGATGAGTCCTGCTTCCCCACATGTTGAAATTTTGAAGTTTGAACATTAGAGAAGCACGATGAGGCAAGGCAAGCATATATCATATAAAGCAGGGCTTATTTAAAAAGGTGTGACATAGACTTCTCGGGAGGGAGAAGGGGGGCATAGCTGGTACCATGGTATCCCAAGAAGCAGGGTGTTCTGCCCTTTTTATTTGTCCCTGGCTTTCTTTGTTCTCCTGCCTTTTCCCCCTTGTCTTTCTCCTTCCTGCATAGGTGAGTAGGCCCAAGAATGCTTGGTGGAAAGGCCCAAAGGTGGGAAACTGGTGGGCTGAAGGGGGAAGGGCTGGATGGAGTAAGCCAAGGACACATTAAAAACCTTATAGCTCTTGAGACAGCTTACCTTGGCAACAGGTTTGAGCTGGGCCAGGTTGTTGAAAAGGGTGGAGGAAGGACTCTGAAGGAATTAACATTTCAATCCCTCAGGGGACAGTCTCCAACTTCCCAGACTCACTCAAAATAGGCCTTCTTCATTGACCTGATTTGATTTACCTATCCATACTGACTGCCTATCTAATTCTGGCTTCAGGGGCACAAATCCAGAGTACCTGATAACTTACAAATAAACACCACATTGTATTTTTAACATTTGTCTCATTTTTGTAGTAAGGGTAGATGTGATGAAAACTGCAAATTTATTTTAATATTTTTATATTTTCATATGGGATATTTGACTTTTGTCACTTATGAAATATCGCCATTCTCCTAAATTCTTTAAATTCTCTCCTATTTTTCTAGTCTATTTTATCTGTTTCTCTGGGGAATACAACTCCTGAAAATAATGCCTGAATATGTATGTATGTATGTATGTATGTATGTATATATGTATGTATTTATTTATAGGACTGTGGATTAAACCCAGTGGTGCTTTACTACTGAGCTATATCCCCATTCATTCTTATGTGTGTGTGATTATATATACATATATACACACACATACATACATATATGTATGTATATATATATTTACTTTTTATTTTTTGAGACAAGGTCTTACTAAGTTGCTGAGGCTGACCTAGAATTTATGATCCTCCTGGCTTAGCTCCCAAGTTACTGGTATTACAGGCATGTATCACTGCACCGAGACTAGATTTTATATTATATTTTGAGATACTCTACTGACTACTAAAATATCTAACTAATTATTCATAATATTATGGAATTTATAACACAAGTATTACTGACCTTTATTTGATCTTTTTGTTGATGGCTTAAATATTTCACAAAATAAATATATTTGACCTACATTTTAAAATATATTTTTTAAAAGAATTACAAATTTGGAACCAGTTTAAATTTATATTTATATGTAAACTCATATAGTGGTAAGCTTAATGTTGAGTTTGGGAATGAAAAGAGAAAACAATATGTGTGTTCAGATTTAATACTCTGCTCAAAATCCCTTATTTACCCTGAAATTCTCACCTGTTTTCAAAAGTAAGGAGTAACACTTCAAATTAAGATAAAAAAAATCAAGTAAAATATTTGTTTGGTAGGTTTAACTTTTACATAAGAGAAAAATGGAAATTGAACACTAATTATTAGACATAGGTGTGTTTTTTATTCAGTTCAGTTTTGAATGGGCAAGAGAAGCACATATCAGCAGCCCAAGGTCTTTAATATGTAGGTACTGGATATGCATTCATTAGTTGAGAACTTTTAGTTCAGGGTGAACTGGGAAGTTGCTGCAGAAGTTACTCCAGCTCACCTTTTCCAGTTGATTTAGAGGCAAATTAGGAAAGAAGAACCCTGGTGCTCTTTACTAAGGAAAGTAAAACAGTCAGACACTATGATAGATAGTAATGAAAACTAGCTGGATAAGAGTAGATGAGTTAAGAAGATCTTACTCAACTTTCTCATTTAGCTAATGTGAGGAGTTTAACATTTTCCAATTGTCTATACTCATTAGAAAAATGCCATTGTACTTAAGAGTTGGAAGAAAATATGTTAGTAGAATATTCTGACTTATTGAATAGGAAGGCAGGGCATGATATGGTGACATTATTGTTTTCAATTGTTTCATTAAATATTTAAGGATACTTTCTAGGAGAGACATATTACTGCAGAAAGAATACTCTGAATATACTTTCACAAAAGCAGATTATTCTAAAACTTTTCAACTTAATATGTAGAGTGTTCATTCTATCAGCTACATCTCTCTCTTAACATTGAATTCAGGTTAAAAAAAAAATAAGTATTCTGTACATGCTGTTTAAAACAAGTCTACCCCCTTAAATGAAGTCCTGACACTTTACCTCCTTTTCCTTCATGGCACATTTCACAAATAGTATGTATTTGTTTGTTTAGTGTATAATTCTCCCCTTGGATATAACCTCCATTAGTATGGGCACTTGATCTTTCTTGTTCCACATAGAAGTGAATAGTGATGAAGGCAGCACGTAGGATGTAGTAGGGACATGGACAGTCCTTGATAAGTGAAAGAGAGACCCTTTGCCAAAGGAATCTTAGCAAATAGACTTGATTCACTGGCACTCTGCTCACCATGCTGGGAAAGAAAGCATTGAGGAAAGATTGCTCAGAACAGACTTCTCAGCCCAAATGCATCTGAAGACATTTGCTGAGTTTCAAGTTCCTGTGTGGTCTGAAAGGTAGATTCCACAAAGGCCACAGAGCTCTGAACAAGGGGGCCTCTTTAAAAGAAGCCTTCTGTATCACTTGATCTTTCTATTTGCTTATGATCTTTCCCTGAAATTCTTCTTTATTCTGGCTCATTTGCTTACTGACTCACAAACTGCAACTTTATAGTTTTCATCTAACAGCTATTTTCTTTTCTTAAGGGCCTTCCCCTCTGCCCTCTACATTGTCAAGCCCACCTCTCTGCGCAGAGAAGGTTTTCCTTTTGATACACTTTATAGAATAAAAGTGTCACATTCATGAATTTGTACATTGAAATTTCATGATGTAGAAATAGCAAGGAGTCTTCTTCATATATCAGATGCCTAATAACTTCTCCATATACCAACCTTTTTTTCTAGATCACTCCTGTTCCTGGAACTCATCCGCTTTTAGTTTTTGTGAACCCCAAAAGTGGTGGGAAGCAAGGAGAACGGTATGCTTTTAAATAACATGTTTATTTTCTATATCATAAATATAAAAAGATCAGCTAAAATTGCGATGTGCACATGTTTAGAACATTATTCCTCACCATTTAGTAATTTTAATGTTATATATATATATAATTCCAGCATCTACATATAATATACTGCTAATAATTTTTATAGTTTAAAACTTAAAGTAATGGCTTTTTTGTAAGCATTTTATTAATTATAGCTCAGGTATCTGCATTCTTCACAACCCATCTACCATCTTAACCCTTAACAAAGAGCTTTGCTTACAACCTGGTTTCATAACTACTGCTGAATAAAAACTGAGTCTCCAGCTTCTAGGCAAAATATATTGTTACAATTATTTTGCATGCACATTTTGGAGAAAATGAAGCCATATTTTCTGGAAAAGTACAATATATTTAATCTGAATAATAATACACTGCATTATCAGATATCTTCATATACTAGCTGATGACATAAAATTTCATTTTATAGTGGATTAGTGATTAAATAATAATATTTAATAGAAATATGAAAATCATTCTCTTAAAGAATAAGTCTAATGTCCTATTGAAGAGGACAGTGACAAACAAAACTGTAGCTATGCCTACCTTCATGATGTCTAGATATCTTTCTTAACCTCAACCTAATATAAGCAAATAGACAAAGCACTTACACAAGCACTATAATGGGAAAACAAATGTCTTTTGTGATTTAACTAGTAACAATTGAAAATGTTTTCATAAATGATAGAATTTGCAAAGTAATATCCTTTCCTACTATTTAAATTTTGAATGTATTTCAATGAAATGAATACTTCATTTTTCAATCAAAAAAAAATATTACTTCTGAATAAAATGTGTTTTTAAAATTTCCATTAACATGTTTATGTTTGTACCCTGCTAAGCATGATATGAATTATTATATTTTTTAAGAGAGAGAGAGAGAGAATTTTTTAATATTTATTTTTTAGTTTTCGGCGGACACAACATCTTTGTTTGTATGTAGTGCTGAGGATTGAACCCGGGCTGCACACATGCCAGGCGAGCGCACTACCGCTTGAGCCATATCCCCAGCCCAAGATATGAATTATTTTAAATAAATAATAGCTTAATAGTTAAAATTTCACAAAATGGTTGCCTTGCTCAAACAGGTATAAAATTGTAATTGAATAATAATACTAAAATTATTTTCTATTGAGCCATTTGCAGTTTGTTAGCTGTCTATACTTTGAGTATTTTTTATTTAAATTAAATTTATTCTTTAACACGCAACGACATAACAATTGCACATATGAATTAAGTACCAAGTGATGTTTGGATTATATGTATATATTGTATACTATTTAAATCAGATTTAACATATCTATCTCCTCAAACATTTATCTTTTTTTTTTTTCTCATGCGAAAACTCACACTCTATTCTTCTAGCTTTTCAAAATGTATGTTATTATCCATAGCCATCATCTGGGAAATAGCTGCTTCTTCCTCTCTAACCCTAAGTACCCATTGATCAATCTCTCTTCAGATCCTCCCTCCCCCTAGTCACACCAGCCTCTAGTAACCACCATTCCACTATCAATCTTTTTGAGGCCAATTTTTAAAAAATTCCATATGAATGAGGTTATTTCCCTTGTTTTTCTGTGTCTGAGCATAATGATCACTAGTTCCATACATTTTGTTGCAAAAACAATATTTGTAACATTTTTATGGTGGAATAATGTTCCACTGTCAATTTATACTATATTTACTTACTGCATTCATCAGCTGAGGGATACTTTGGTTGTTTCTACTTCTTGGCTGAGGTAAACAGTACCACAATAGACAGAGGTGTTCAGGTGCCTCTTCAGCATATTGATTTCACTTGCTTTGGGTACATACACCCAAAAGTGAAATCAATGTGCTGAAGAGGCACCTGAAGTATGTACCCAAAGCAAATGAAATCAATATGCTGAAGAGGGATTGTTGTATCATATGATAGTTCTATTTTTAATATTTTAAAGAACCCTCCACTATCTCCCACAATGGCTACTAATTTACATTCCCATCAACAGTGCAAGGGATCCATCTTCTCTACATCCTAGTCAGTACTTAATATCTGTAGTATTTTTAATAATGTCATTCTTACTGGAATGAGGTGATATCTAATTGTGATTTTGTTTTTCATTTCTCTGATGATTTGTGATTTGGGGCATTTTTTTCATATACCTATCATATACCTGATGATCTTCTTTTGAGAAATCTCTATGTCTATTGCTTATTTTCAATCAGTTTTTTATGCTGTTAATGTTTTGGAATTCCTTATACATGCAGATATCAACCCCTAGCCATATGTATAGTTTCCAGACTCACTATGTTGACTGTTCCCTAGGCTGTTCAAAAGTTTTTTTGTTTGATATAATCTCTTTTGTCCATGTGATTAGCTCAGTAGATGCAGAAAAGTCAATTGATTAGATTCAACATCTATTCATGATCAAACATTGAACAAAGTGAGCACAGAAATAAAATTAGCTCAATATAATAAATGCCATATATAACAAGCCCACAGCTGACATCATACTGAATGGGGAAAGATTATAAGCTTTCTTTCCATGATCTGGAATAAAATAAGGATATCTACTTTCACAACTTTATTCAACATAGTCTGAAGTAGAATAATCAAGCAAGAGACAGAAATAAAAGGCATCCACATAGGAAAAATGAAATCCAATATTTACTGTTTGCCTATTACATGTTCTTCCATGTAGAAAGCCCAAAACATTCCACCAAAACCCTCCATCAGAAAAAAACAAATCTAATAGAATTAATTCAAATTAATTTGAAATCAGCAAAGTGTAGGATATAAAAATCAGTATACAAAAGCCAGCAGTGTTGTTATATTCCAATAGCAAAGTATTTAAAATTTTAATCAAGAAAATAATGCCATTTATAAAGGTTACCAAAAAATTAAAATACATCATAATAAACCAAAGCAAGGAGATGAAAGATATCTACAATGAAATTTATGAAACACTGATTAAAATAACTAAATGGGACACAAAAAATATGATGTTCTTGTTCATAGATTAGAAGAATCAACCTTTGTAGAATGCCCATGATTCCCAAAGTGATCTCTAGTTTTAAGGCAATCCCTACCAAATACCAATTACATAGGACTAGGAAAGAGAATCCTAGAATTTGTATAAAATCACACAGAAAACCTAAGTAACTAAAGACACATTGACCAAAAAGAAAAAAAAGAGGAGGCATGACACTAACTTCAGAATCTACTATAAAGCAGTAGTAATCAAAACATGGTTTTGTCATAGACATAGACACATAGACAGATGGAACAGAAAAGAGTCCAGAATTTTACTCGTGCTTCCACAGCTGAGATTTGACAGAGGTATTAACAACATGTGTTGGAGACAGTCTTTTCAATATATTGTAGTAAGAGAATATCCACAAGCAAAAGATTAAAACTAGGTCACTCTTATCCTTTATAAAAATTAACTCAAAATGTATTAAAACCTTATAAAATCTGAATCTATGAACCTACTAGAAAAAAAAGATAAGGGAAATGACTCACAACACTACAATGGGCAAGAATATTTTTGGACAAGACCCCAAAAGCATAGGAAATTAAAGCAAAAATATACTGTGGTTACCTTGAATACAAATATCTCTCACAAATAATCAGATAAGATTTAAACCTATGTTAAACAGTAAAGTCAAATGAAATCAATAGAAAAGAATTAAAAATATATTTCCAAAAGAAACTACATTTCCTTCTAATTAAAATTACATTAATCATGTATGATGACCCTGAGCTTAATAACTGTCTTTCCCTTATCTCAGTACATATTTTTTATAAATTATAAACCAATTATATAGGGATAAAATGATAAGGAAACAAAACTTTATGGGGAGAGGGTGGCAAATTTGAATGCATAGTCTGTATGCATAGTAACTTCTGTTTTCTCTTCATCCATTCACTGGAACCATTCAAAATCAAATGAAATGTAAATATGTTTTTAAAAAGATTTATCATGAATGAAGTATAACTTTTTGTATGCATAGAAGATACCTTTCACAATGGGATTACATAGTTTTTTCCATTAAAATATTTCAGCTATTTTGACTTTGATATGTCATATAAGTTGCAAAAGTCACAGAATTATATATGCACAAACAGTGCCCTATACCATGCAACAGGTGTGAAAGTGTTCACATATCATCCATTCAGACAGCAACCACTGGGCAAATTTAAACAATACTAGGATTTGGGGATAAAAGATTTGCAATAGTCATGCATGCTGTCAAACATGTAAGCAGATATATTGAATCGTATATGATAAATGTTAAACTAGAAATGTTCGAAATAAAGGTGCTATGGAGGAACCAATTGGGAAATATCTAAAAACTGAGAAGTCTTTGAAGAAAAAGTAGTTTTTATATTGTTTGTTATTTAAATAGATGTTTCCCACATGTAGGACAGAGAAAGACAAATTCATGAAAAATCTTGATGTCAACTAGGAATGATTTACCAAGGTTTAAGTTTAAGGGAAAGATAAGAGATTAACTTGCCCATATTGGGAAGATACTAGAATTTCATCCTGGAAACAATATGTCTATACCTAAACAATAGTAGGGAAAGGAACTGGAATGTGAAAAATTTAATAGATCTGAAGATCTATATAATGAAAATTACAGAACCCCAAACAAGACTTTAGAAGATGGAAAGAACTGCCTTGCTCTTGGATAGGTAGAATTAATATTATCAAAATGACCATACTACCAAAAGCACTATACAGATTTAATGCAATTCCAATCAAAATCCCAATGAAATTCCTCATAGAAATAGAAAAAGCAGTCATAAAATTCATCTGGAAAAATAAGAAACCCAGAATAGCTAAAGCAATCCTCAGCAAGAACAGTGAAGCAGGTGACATTACTATACCAGACCTGAAACTATACTACAGAGCAATAGTAACAAAAACAACATAATATGGGCACCAAAAGAGATTGGGAGACCAGTGGTACAGAATAGAGGACACAGAGACTAACCCACAAAATTACAATTATTTTATATTAGACAAAGGTGCCAAAAACATGCATTGGAGAAAAGATAGCCTCTTCAACAAATGGTGCTGGGAAAACTGGAAATCCATATGCAACAAAATGAAATTAAACCCCTATCTCTCACGATGCACAAAACTCAACTCAGAATGGATCAAGGACATAGGAATAAAACCAGAGCCCCTGTGTCTAACAGAAGAAAAAGTAGGCCCTAATCTCCATCATCTCAGATTAGGCCCCAACTTCCTTAATAAGACTCCTTTGGGCGTAGACTAAGGAGAGGGATAGCTGGGTCAAATGGTGGTTCCATTTCCAATTTTCCAAGAAATCTCCATACTGTTTTCCATATTGGCTGCACCAATTTGCAGTCCCACCAGCAGTGTATGAGTGTACAAGGACTTAAAGCATACAACAGGGACACAGCCATATGAATGTTTATAGCAGCACAATTCACAATAGCTAAACTGTGGAACCAACCTAGATGCCCTTCAATAAATGAATGGATAAAAAAATGTTGCATATATACACAATGGAATATTATTCAGCAATAAAAGAGAATAAAATCATGGCATTTGCAGGTAAATGGATGAAGTTAGAGAACATAATGCTAAATGAAGTTAGCCAATCCCCAAAAAACAAATGCTGAATTTTTTCTCTGATATAAGTAGGTTGATTCATAGTGGGATAGGGAGAGGGAGCATGGGAGGGATAGACAAACTCTATATAGGACAGAGGAGTTGGAGGGGAAGGGAAGGGGCATGGGGTTAGAAATTATGATGGAATGTGATGGTCATTATTATCCAAAGTACATGTATGAAAATATGAGTCGGTGTGAATATACTTTGTATACAACAAGAGATATGAAAAATCGTGCTCTATTTGTGTAATAAGAATTGTAATGTAGTCTGCTGTCATATATAAATAAAAAAATTAAAAAATTTAATAGAGCCCATGAATAGTAGTACCCCAACTTGACAGGCATTTCTCAGTTAGAAGGCTCAAGATGGTCCTCTGGTGGAGTTCTGGTGCCAGGGTAAAGGATCTATTGAGAATAACTCCAAGATCTTTCTTCAGATACTAATCAGAAACTAGAATGTGGGGTTATTGAAGATTTGAAGATGGGGAAACATATGTAGGTATTACATAGTGTGTTTACAGAATTTCTATCAGTCAGTATCATAGAATATAGAGTAATATTTTTATGTGTATATAAAAGTAATCCCCCAAATCAAAATATCACCCTTTATTTTAAATATTTTGTTTAAAAATTTAAACCATATTGGATATAAGAATTTAGAAACACTTTTGTTTGATTTGTTATATTAAAATTATTTTCTTTCAGAAAAATGAATTATTTAATACATATCTGTTAAGACAGTAGTTTTGTGAATTAACAGGTCAAGATAATTGTTTATATAAAATAATCATGCCATCTGAGGCTACATTCTTTGCTTACATAAATACATATAAGGTATGTAACCCCATTGTTTGTGTGGGGTAGATAATTTTGATCTCTATTAATTTGGCCCAACAACTCAATCTCGAATTCTATGGAGAAAAGAATATATTTCCATTTATTGAGAGAATATATTTAAGTAATTTACTGAAATACTTTTCCAAATATTTATTTGAAACCCAATTATTTAACTAAATGATATTCAAAAGTGAGTTGGAGAATATTCTAAATGCCTATGCATATTTGGAATGCATCATTATTTCTGACTTCTAAGATATATTGCCTTTACAATGGCTAACAAGTTCTTTTTATTTTTATTTTTTTGAGAACTACTATTTCCTCTATTTCCTATTGAGATATTATATTTCTGATACTATTAATGCAATACATATCAACTATTTTAATTGCAATTACATATTTATAACATTGAGATGTTACCCCCTAATTATAATTAAATTTCTTCTCTTCTTTCTATATTTTATCTTTATAGAATTTACAGAAAATTTCAGTATCTACTAAATCCTCGACAGGTTTACAGTCTTTCTGGGAATGGTCCAATGCCAGGGTAAGTCCAAGGATAATATCATTACCATTAACTTGCTTAATAGTAACTAATTTATTAAGCAGACTGTCATATCCATAAACAATGTTACTGGAATAATGCAGACTGATCAGTATATACAAAATTAAATGTGAACTGCATAAGAGAAACAATACAGATAATGTTAATTGAAATAGCTGACATTCAATTATAAGTAAAAATTTCCTCCCTTCTAAACATTGTGAAACAATACTAATAATACTAATAACAATAACAGTACACACAGCATACTAGACAAGTGTTTGTGTTTTAAAAACTACTAAGCCATGTGTTTGAATTATAATTCTCCTTTCTTTTACTTATTAAATATAAAATATACATCTGCTCCAGAATGTGGAGAAAACTAGTTAACAAAGAATTCAAATCATAATATGATATCTTAATTTATTGCTTGCAAAATCTAATGAATATCACTCTTTGTAACATATTTTATTGTTAATGGGTAAGATAAAGTGAAATAAAGTTATTTTTTCAATATAAACTATCTAATTCTCATATCACAAATATGTACCAAAATAAATCATCATTAGTTTGGCCTAGTTAAATAATTAATTTTATCTTCTTCCACTAACCTCGTTTCTTTCTATCAACATGAGAGTAAACTTTAGACCACATAAGTAGAGAAGAGTTTAATCAGCTTTTGCATGCTCCATTTTAAAAAAAAAAAGTATGATTTAAATTAACTCATATTTGGCAACTATATACCAAATATTGAAATTCTACTCTTGAAATTGCTGAGTACAATATATAGCATTGTTTCTTATGTTAAATAAATGTTAATAAAATACAGTTGATAAGCATAGGCTCCCACAATTATATTTATTTCTTCTATGCCTTGCTGCCTGCTGTCTAAGGTAGGTTTGCAAATACTAAGACATGATCTGAGGAATTTCCTTTCTGTAGAAGGCAGGCTTACCAGAATCACAACAATTTAGTTCAAATACTGCCTTTATTGAGCTCCAGAATCTAGAGGAATGATGATCAGAATATAGGCTAGGTGAACCACATGCAGAATGAATCAGGGTAGAAAAAGTCAAGCCAAAGTAAAGACTTGATATTAACTCATAAGCTCAATTAGGGTAGTTCTTTTTCATGACCTTTAATGTTTTCTGGACTTTCGAGAATAATGAATTCCAAAGTTTAGTCATGCCAAGAACTCTGTAGGTCCACAAAACCAAGTAAATCTAGAATTTTTTTGCATTTCACAGTTAAGCAGAGTATCTGTTTGCTCTACCAATTACTAGCTTTGTAAATTTAACCTATTTAGGCCTTCATTGTCTAATCTGTAAAATGAGGGCTAGTACCTACCTCATAGAGTAGTTGTGAAGTTAAATGGACAATGCCTATGAAGTACATAATCATGTGCTTTCCACATGATTACAAATGTTACAAATTTCAATAATGTTTGTATTGATATTAATTAATAATAATAACATAGCTTTGTAAATATACTACAATAGTATTGATTTTTAGCCCCATTTTCTCATTTCATTTCATTTCATTTACTTATTTATTTTTACCTCTACACTTAAATATGCTTTACATGTTTTCTTTCTCTCTTTCAGTTTAAGGCCATTCATTATCCTCTACTCTATTTTAATTTTATTATATGAAAACATGGAAATACATACTACATAGTATTAATTTAATATGTGAAAAAATGAAAGTATAAAATATATGTATGTGTGTGATTGTAAGAATCCTGCACACTGCAATGAATATTATGCAGAAAACAAGCAGATACTGGTCTCACTTCAAGAATTACCACTCCTTACAAATTACCAGTATGATTGGGTATATCTTCCCAAACAATCAAATAAACATATATAAACAAATGTCTGTCTTGCATATATTTCTATCTAATACCTCTTATCTTTCTATCTAATATATTCAAATATATATTTGATAGACAAATAGATGTTTTGACATAACTTGGAGTATAGACTATATCGTTTTGCAACTTGCTCCTTCTAGTCAAAAGCCTGTAATTTTGTCCTTGTCCTTTTCGGTAGTTATAGACAGTTTCATTATTTCTAAGGCCTGCATGGTATTCTGTAAGTTTGTTAGCTATCCATTGTTGATGAGTGTTTAGATTGCATTTGTTTTCTACTTATTGACAACTATGCTTTAACTCTATCAATTTGTTGAGTATTTATTATTATTGATATTGATTTTTTATGTACTTTTGAAAGCTTGTTCAAATAGTTTCACAGAATAAGTCACTATAGGTAAAATTGCTTGACAGAAGTTTTTCAAGTCTTATCTGGTTCTGCCAAATTATTATCCAAAAATTTTCTTTTAGTAATAAAAATAATATTTATTATATTTATTTATTATAATCCCAACAATAGTATATAATTCCTATTTCCCCAACCTCCCTTAAATTGGCTATCTATATTAATCTCTATATCTAATTTGAGAAGTGAAAATATGTACTTTATGTTTTTATTTGCATGTTTCTAATCAATTGTAAAGTTGAATATGGTATCAATTATGTTTATTTTTCTAAGCAAAGAAATATGCTCTAGTTTATTATCCAAATAACATATACTAAAAATTATGAGGTTGCTCATTGAATTATTAGGGAAACTAATAATTGGGAAATTATTAGTTTAGGAAAATAGGAAGCAGGACAGTTTGAAGAAAGGAGCATCAATAAAAAGAAAAGTCCCATGGTAGCTAGTGTTCAGAGTAATGGATTCCAGTCAATTGTTCTTAGTGTTTTCATTTCTGTGCTCAAGGTTCACATATCATGGAGAAGCTTATGTATTTATCATGCCACACCCTTGGCTAGTGTGGAGTTGGGCATCTTGTCTGATAGTCCAATTGAAACTATCCAAACAGATTGTTTCCTCAAAACCAATGATGATGCTGGAGCCATTGAGGAAGAAAGGTGAATTCTTGGTAGGAATAAACAGTAGGTATCCACCACAGTCTTAACAGTTGGGTAGAACAACATAACTTTCGCTATGAACATGCAAAATGGAAAAGATAACCACTAACCATATGGATATTCCTGAACATATCTGAAAATAGTCATGTCCTCTAGACAACCCAATGTCACAGTTACTATATCTAAGTTTAAGTTACATTTCTCTCGAAAACTCTTTGTAATGGCGATTCTCCCTTTATCAATTCCCTCAGTGTTCCAAAAATTCCAATTTTAACTATAAATATGAATTAAAGTGATATTTTTAATAATTAAAAATATCAATTAAAATATCAATTAAAAGAATGAAACCTTATACAGTCACAACTGGTTAAAAGCTGTTGGTGGAACCTAGCATTTTCCTCCTACTTTATCTTAGCTGGCTGGTAATTTATACCCAGCAGAGTGAACTAAGTATATTTACCTGATAGTACTTTGGTAGAATTGTTTGTGGGGGGGGGGGGATATTTTCTCATGTACATTTTTGATAGGCATGTTGGCACATGACAATATTAGTGCTTTCTATCATATATCTCTAGGTTTCCTCTAAGACACTTGATTTTATGATACTTCCTTTCATCCCAGATGTTAAAAGTGGACATATAACTATCTCTTGCATTAAACTATAGGCAGAAGTATATTTTCCAAAATTTCTTTTCATTTGCCATAATGACCAGCCACACTCTAGATACTGACTCTATACTTAGTGTGTATCATGAAATGAAGACAGGAATAGAGAGAGCCTGATCACTCCAATGCGTGAAGAATGAATGATATTCAAAGCCTCTGTAATGTTATACCACTAAGATCTGATGTTGCTTGTTACTCTTTGTAACCTAGGGCGTAGAGACTAAACCAATGGTGGGATTAGAGACCATAGTAGTATTCCCCATACCCACTGTGCAGCAACAAACCAGTTAACCCTGGGTTGTGAGAGTCAATTACATCTTATCTCCTTTATCCGTGTTTGTCTAGTGGGAAAAAGAACCTGAAAATGTCCATTTTTAGCATTTAATTCAGTAAACACTTTATTATCTTTTATGCCAGCTTGTCTGTGTTTAGTTTTTAAATTCTCCTATGAGCTAAAAACCAAGAGGATCAGAAAAAAAAAAGTTCAAAAGTAGACAGTGTCCTCCAGAGAAACACAACCACTAGGATATATCTATATAGTTATATCTATATCTGTATATTACATATATCTAAGGGGGTGTGGGGGATGTAGACATTAAAAGAATAGGGTCGTGAGATTATAGAAGCTGGTGAATCCAAAATCTACAGAGTATATAATCCAGTTCAAATGTTCTCCAGCAGAATTCTTTTTTACTCAAAGGAGGGCAAACATTTTTCTCTATCTGACCTTTAATGGATTGGATAGGCCATCCACATTGTGGAAGGAAATTTTCTTTATTCAGTACACCAATTTAAATGTTAATCTCATCTAAAAATGTCCTCACTGAATCAAGCACAAAAATGTTTGACCAAATATCTGGGAACCCTGTGGCCCAGCTTCATTTATATCTAAACTTGATCATTATTTAAATAAGATTTAAGTTTTTATTACTCAAGATTTGCCTTTTGACCCCAGAACTGTGTATTCTGATATTAGTGAAATGACACCTGGTAGATCAGTGTACATTCTAGATCCACTGGATAGTATATTATTTAGAGTCTTCCACTGATTCAGTGACTGGAATCTTAAGTAGACTATTTCAGTATTCTAATTGACCAACTGCTTTAACCAATAAACTTATTTAAAGGACTTTTACTCCCAGGGCTATAAAACCACTGTCTTTTCTCTGTTTTTGTTTTGAGAAAGTATTTCTTAAGGAGAAGGCAAGACATGATTACATAAGACATTCAGTAATTCAGTTGCTATGATCACTGACAAAGGCAAAATGGTTAAAAAAAAAAAAAAGAAGAAAGAAATCCAGTTGATACAAGAGTCTAATGTAGTTGGCTCAAATTGCTGCAGTTCCATTGTGGAAAGGATCCATTAGATCCTAGTTCCCTTGATGTAGTATATTGTAACTCACTA